TACTATCTTGCACTACAATTCTCTCTTCCTTTCCATTCAACAGTTTCATAAAATGCTTCTTCCACTGTATTATAGGTATGTCTTCACTAATCGTGATTTTGTTCTTCCGTTCTTTATTTATATACTGCCATACCTCTTGCTCTGTTCTTATGGCTTTAATTTTTTCTTCTTCTTCTTGCTGTATCTCTTCTTTCTTTCCTTTGCATCGTTTTCTATAATTATTTTTTGCTTGCCAGTACTCTTCTTTTATACCTTTCCCCTTTTTCCACCTTCGTAAACATTTCCTTGCTTCTGTTTTTAAATCTCTGCATCTGCTATCCCACCATCTGTTTCTCTTTTCTGAATTTGTCGTTACAATTTCTTTTCTTATGGCTGCTTTTTCAATTTTTCTTTATAATTCTTCCATTTTCTTTTCAGTTCCTTTTTCTTTAAATTCCACTTCCAACATTTTTTTTTTATAATGCTCAATTCCTTTTTCATTCCATACCCATATCTTCTTCTCTTTTCCTACTTCATTCCTTAAGCATCCCCTCCCTCTACTTATGCCCCTCACTTTTACTTCTAGTGGCATGTGATCGGAGTCCACTCTTTCTCCTATCTTGAATGTTTCTACCTCTTCTTCTGCTAATCCGTTTACTATTACGTAGTCTATTACCGATTCCCCTCTTTTACCTATGCAGGTAAATTCCCCCTTCTCGTCCCCTTCCTTCACCCCATTCAAGACTTCCCAACCTCTTTCTTCAATTAATTCCCATAGCAATTTTCCGTCTTTATTTTCTACTTTATCTTTCGATTTTCGTGTGGTTTCCTCGTCTTTTTCCCTGCTTTTGTTCCCTATTCTGGCATTAAAGTCCCCCCCTAACAATAGAAATTCTTCTTCGGACTCTTCGATTTTTTCTTGTATTTCTTGTTTCGTGTTTCTCATTCCTCTACTATATATTGTGCAGATTCTCCATCTTTTTTTATTTACAATCAGTTTTCTTTCTTAAGTCTTCCATTTCTATTGCCCCCTCTCCTATTTCTTTTATATCTTTCTTCACTCCTGTTATGATTCCACCTCTTGCTCTACCCTTGCGTTTTTCTTTTTTTGCCCCTTGCAATTTCCACTTAAATTCCTTTGGCAATACGTCTTTCAGTTTGTTCCAGTCTCTCTCTAGTATCCATGTTTCTGTGAGTACCACAAAATCAAAATTTTTCACGTAGTTCCAAAATAAGTCATCTTTCTTCTTCAAAACCCGCAATATTCCAAAAGAGTAATTTTAAACCACTTTTATCTTCCCCATTCTTCTTTCCCATTCCCCTATTATGTACAAAATCTACATTCTTAAACCTAAAGTCTTTATTTGTCCCATCATTACTACCCCTCCCCTTTGTGTTTCTTTCTTCGGTTAGTGCTGACTTGATTTGAGAAATTTTTCTTCCAATTTTCCTTTATTTTCATTCCATATATACATTTTGTCCCCTACTTCCAGCTTCTTATATCCCACCCTTGTTGTGTATCCTTTTTTTTTCCTCTTTAGCTATCTCCCTAATTCCTTTTTGAATGTTTTGCTCTTGTACTGTCCAATCATTATCAATATATATTCTCTTTCCTCTCAGTTTATTTTTATTCTTCATTACCTGTTGTTTTGTCTCCCAAAGCGTCTTAACCAGTATTTTCTTGCCTTCTTCTTTCCCTATAATTATTGTTTCCAACACCTCTACCTCAATTTCTTTTTTCAAAAATTCCTCTACTTCTTTTGCATCTGTCCTTTCCCTTATTTCCATACCAGTAATTATGAAATTGTTATCATCTAAACAATTTGGATTTCGAAAAGGTCATTCTATTACTTCTGCTATTTCTACCTTACTGGACAAAATTACACAATGTTTTGAAATGAAGGAAATTTACACTACAGCTTTTTTAGATCTAAGCAAAGCGTTTGACTGCGTTTCACCTGATATACTAATGCGCAAATTGTACTTTTATAACTTCCATCCTAGTAGTATTAATCTTATTATGAGTTACTTAAGTAATCGGACGCAAAATGTTTATTTTAAAGAGTCAATGTCGGATGAATGCCGAATTGTTTATGGGGTGCCCCAGGGATCCATTCTTGGCCCTATCTTATTTCTCCTATACATTAATGATCTCCCTCAATTCATACCGTCTGCGGATATTACGCTATATGCCGATGATACCTCCTTGGGCAATGCAGCGCCATCGGCTGATCTTTCCTTGCATGTAAATAATAGGCTAAAAGTTCAGGCAGGAGACTGGTTCTGCGCTAATCGTCTGTGCTTGAACAATGATAAAACGGTTACCATGCAGTTTAGCTTAAAACGTGATAAGTATTGTCCACCTGTAACTACAAAATATCTAGGCCTGTTTATAGACTCAGAGTTACGCTGGACCAAACATGGTGACTACGTAGCCACCAAAATATCTAAAGGCATATATCTACTTCGTAACTTAAGTAACAATCTTTCATCCAAATATATCAGAATCGCTTATTTCTCATTGTTACATTGTCATTTTGACCATGGTATTCTAAACTGGGGTCATTCAACATCATTACAAAGACTTTTTAAACTCCAAAGAAGAGCTGTTAGAATTGTGGCTGGTATTGGTTACCGAGACGAATGCAAACCACATTTTACTAAACTAAAAATTTTTACCTTACCTTGTTTGTTTATATTTCGTTGCCTTGAGCATTTAATTAAAAATTTTGGGAACTATTTTCCACTAAAGTCGTTTCATCAGTATGAAACTAGAACGGATGAAATCGCCTTTAAATTATTAAGGCTGAGCAAATCTAAGTCTGGCACTTCATACTATGCCATCAAGTTTTTTAATAAATTACCGAATTCCTTTAAAAAAATGACTCCTAAACTTTTCTTAATGAAAATTAAACAGCACCTCCTTGACCACGCATATTATTCCTTCGAGGAATATCTGCATAACAATTTGTTTGAAATATAAAATCTAGTCTTATTGATTTCTGTTATCAAATATATTAGTCTCATTGTTATAATGTTACATATTATTTTTTTCCCTATTAGGTACTGACTTGTGTAAACACTATTGTGTATTAACATGAATAAAGACATACATACATACATACATATTCTTTCTTGTCTCTCTTTTTTTCCACCTTCTTCTCTAAATTATTGATTCTTTCTTCGAAGCTTCTCTCCTTTTGTTTCCATTCTTCTCTTTCTCTTTCCAGTATTCCATTTATTGTCTGTAAATCTTTTTTTACCCCTCTATTTTCTTCTCTCAGTTGTTTCATTTCTTCCATTAGTTGCTTCATCATTTCCATCAACGGCTCTTGTCCTTGCTTTATTTGTTCTCTTTCTTCCATTTTCAATGTTTTTGCTGGCTCTTTGCGCAGCGAGTCGTCTTCTCTCGTGCGGCGTACGCCTCTGCTGTCGCTTCCCTCACTATCAGCTCTTTCTCGCCAGGCCGCAAAAACGTCACCAATCTTATCACTCTCAATCCTTTTCTGATTCGACATAACCTTGTTGTTTTTCTTGTCTCACCAGTTGCACTCGCGTTTTTTTTTTTGACGAAAAATTCACTTGTGCTGCTTTTACTAACACGTAATCACACTTGTTACCCCTGCAAGTCACTGTTAACTATGACTTTAGCTTTAGCTGTTGCTAACAATGTGCACTCGCTCGCTGCTCAATCAAGAATCCGTATAACAGTTATATAATTTGGTACTTTAATGTTCTGTAAATGTTATGTAGCCGTAACATAACAGGCACATGACCATGTTAAACATATGTTACATTTTTTAAATGTAACTGAACTGTAACAGGTATAATTAACACAAATATAACATCAACATAACGTCTCTATTCCAATTTCCGCTTCAAGCATAATGATCTTAACGGTGACATAACACTTATACAACTTTGTTATATTCTCGCTACATAACTTGGCTATTACAAGATTGTAGATGTTACATAACAATCATTTTAAATTAGATTACCGGTATTGCTTAACTTTGCTCAATGTTAAAAGCACACTTGTGCTTATAGTGTATACAATGACAACCATTTTTTTTTAACTTTCATATTCAACTCCAATATAACGTTACCATCACAGTGTAAAATAATACTGTTATACTAATATAATATAACTGTACTTTAACAGTTTTATACCGTAATAACAAATTTTATTATATTTTTCTTATATAATGGCAACATAACGTCACTATAACTATATTTTTAACACTGTTCCACTTATGTGATGCGACTGCACAACAACAGTGTTATATAACATTATTATACTGATGTTATATACCTGTAATGTTACATTTTTTGTAACGCCAAGCAAACGTTGTTATAATTTTGTTTCGTTACATAAACGTAACAGCAATATAAATGTGGGATATATCTCTGTTAGTTTTTTGTTATATAACCGTTATACTTTGTTGCCTGAGCTATTCAGTTCAATTTTACGGCGGTCCAGCTAATGCCGAATTCGCCTTCGGCTCAGGCTGCAAACGAAGCTGTGGCGCCTTAAAATCCTACTTACAGCAACTCGAATGTACGAATTAATTACGTCTGAAACTACCGACCTACTTATTCTTCTGTTTAGAACTAGACAAATAATGGGTTAGAGTTGCATCTAATAAATAATTCAAACTTACTAATTATAAAAATATTGTCATTTCAAAATTGTTCAGGATAACGTCGCAGATCCATGAATAATGAAAAAGATAAATGCAAACTACTTAGTTTTCAATATGAAATTTTCTTTGTCGTGTAGTTGTAATAATTAATGAACTTGAGTAGCTTAATATAAAACAAAAAGCATTCTTATATTTATTTCCCAACCCATCTAAATTTTTAGCGAATTATTGATAATGTCAGTTGTTATTTTAAGCGTATGTTAACATTATGATTACCATTCTAAATAATAAACACCAAATGGAAAACGGCAAAGTGCGCCTGCCCGCATTCTACATTCGGAAAATCTGATTGGTTGTGTCAGAACTATAAATGCACAAATGCATTTGAAGGCAATAGTGTCATTTGAAGATCAAGTGATAAATTTAGTGCTCGAACTGGTAAGCACTTTATTTTTGTTGTATACGTGCTTAATTTTTTTTCTAGGTAAATAACACTAGACTTGTGGCGAAAATATTACATTATATTCTACGAAACCTTGGTCTTCACTATTTGCCATGGAACGAACCGCTTTTAAAGACCTAGATCTACGCGAATTTGTAACCCTCAACATCAAACTCATTCATTTCTTTGGGTACTTTTCCCCAGAATTTCACAACTCCACAATAAAAATAATCTATTTCTTCTACCGCCTAGGATTCCTGAGTTTTATATTTTTCTCATGTTTCTTAACTCAACTGGCAAACATGATCGATTCTTTCGGCGACATTGAAAGAATGACAGACGCATCATTTTTGCTTTTCACCAACATAGTTCAATGCCTCAAGTTGTACTGCTTCATGAACTACGCTTCACGAATATGGAAACTCGTTCACAGCATGAACGCAGAAGTGTTCAAACCAAGAAATCAAACACAGTGCGAAATTCTGACAAAAGAAATCAAGCTGTCGAAGACAATCTCAGTACTGTTTTTGCTAGCATGTACTTTGACGTGCATTTCTTGGGGCGTGTCACCACTATTAGACAGAACAAGCGACGATGGTATCAGATTACCGTTAAGCGGATGGTACCCTTTCCGAACTGATAGGTCTCCAGGGTTCGAATTTGTGTACATTTATCAGATTTTGTCGACTTGGGTCAACGGTTTGGGAGACATTAGCATGGATACTTGTGTGTCGGGGACGATAATGTTTATTTCTGCACAGCTTAGTGTACTCAGAGATGCTTTAGAAACGATGAAACATACAAAAAATAGTGACCATCAGACGATTAATGAGGCGTTGGTTCGAAATGTCGTTCACTTCAAAAACATAGTTCAGTAAGAAATCAAAAAATGTGTTTATATAATGGTTTATGACTTATTTATTTTGTAGATTTGCCGAAGAAGTGACCTTTCTATTTACTGCAGGTATAACAGGTCAGTTTGTGGTTGGAGTAGTCATAGTGTGTATGTCGATGTTCCAAATGAGTTTAGTCTCTGTGCTAAGTTTCCAATTTTTTGCTATGTTTCTCTACCAAAGTTGCGTCCTTTTGGAAATATACTTGTGGTGTTTTTACGGAAATGAAGTAATTATGAAGGTTAGTTTGACAATGTGAGACATTTTGTTCTAATTTGGGTATTTTTAGAGCGACCAACTCACTCAGTCTGCGTATATGTGTGAATGGACTGACGCTCCAGAGGAATTCAAACAGAATTTGATGATTTTTATGAGTCGGACACAATTCCCTCTTAAATTGTATGCTTCGGGTTATTTTACTCTATCTCTGGAAACTTTTAAGGCGGTAAGTTCTATAGATGCACTTTTTTCGTTTTCCATGTGTGCACTGGCCGCTTTTTTCGTTTTAGATTGCAAAATCTTCGTGGTCCTACTTTGCTGTACTCAATCAAGTTCACGAAGGAAAAGTGGCTTAATGTTATTAATTAAAGTGTTTATTTTATTTTTTGACTTAGTAAATTGAATAAAAAAGAGAATCAATAAAGTTCTTAAAAAGAATCAGTTTTAGCAAACTTTTTTAGTCGTTGAAAGAAATTCCGTAGCCTGTTTAGCTGTGTTTAAAAAATTGTGCGAGGGAACAAACTTTTTCGTTGTTTTTGTGTATGGAAAGTAAAACTCCCTAGGGGATTTTTAAAGGATTATTTTCCTAGGGACAAACGTGTCCACCGTAAAATTTTAACAAAGTTCATTGTTCTAAGTTTTTTTTTCATCCTCCGTCCGAAAGTAACTTCTCGAGTTTGAAATATCCAAAAAAATTACTTGGGTAATTTTCGGTGGTGCGCTGGTCGACATTTGCGTATTGAAAAATTGTCTAAAGATCCACAGAAATTCTGGGGCAGATTTCGACATTGAAAAAATATAGTGTGTTTTAGGGGTTTTAGAAATAAGTAATTTTTTTTTAATTCTAAAAATTGCCATATTATATTTGAAAATTTCGGAAAAATGGTAGGAGTTTTATAAGAAATGTGGTCGAAGGGATCTTCTGGAAGTGGAAATATGTAATAAAATCTCTTCAGATACTTTTAAAAGTGGTCCAAAAAAGTTGGAAATTTTCGTAAGATGGTATTACAGAAAAACTGAAATTTTGAAAATTTTGCCCAAAAATTCTGGGATATAGATCTCGACGTAAGGATTCACCAATATAGTGTTTTTAAAGTCCCGGATTTTTTAATATTGGGTTTCGTAGGGGTTGTACAAGAGTTTCATCGATATACAGGGCGATTCACTAGGCTCGATATCTCTATAAGGTGCTTAGTTTTTTATATGAAACACACTATATATTTTACAAGAATAAATATTTACAGCCACGGTTTACTTTGGAAATTCTGATACGATGTTGCCACGTTGTTCCAATTTTCTTGAAATTTTTGATCAATGGAAAGATTCACAAAAAAATTCGCAGTAGTATAATTTTTAGTCTGTCTTACAATATTTCGTGGAAAGATAAATAAAAGTATGCGCCTGAATCAAATTTTAACATACAGATTTTTTATAAAAAAAAACTAAAACAATACCATTTTCAAACATCAATATGGCAGTTTTTCAAATGAAACACCTTGCTTTTTATTACTAAATCTTACTCTATTTTTTGTCCTCATTCTTCTAATGTCGATGTGTTTTTTAAAAATTTGAAAAGCCGCAGTAACTATCATCTTTAAATATAGAAAATACTCAGCTAAAGTAAGAGAACAAAAAATAGAATAAGATGTAGTAATCAAATGTAGGTGCACTATTTGAAGAAACTGAAATATCGAGATTTAAAAATTGTAATAATTAAAAAAATGAATTAAAAACATTCTGTATTAGAAAATTTAATCTTCTTTATACCACAACAAAGCGCGTATTTTTAGTTATCACCCTACAAAATGTTGTAAGACAAGTTTTAAAAATAACCCTACTGTGATTTTTTTTTAAACTTTTATTACTAAAAAAATCAAGAAAATTGGAATAACGTTCCAATCTTGTATCGTTGATTAATGAGATATCAACGACCGCGCGTTGTGACTCAGTGCAGTACTCTCGTCACGGGTTGAGTCGTATTGCGGCTCTCCGCACAATTCGCTCTTCTCTGAAGAAATTGCGTCCCTCGGCACAGTTACGTCAGCGACCGTAATTGTAATTCTAAGTGGATTACGTAACCCCTGCCAAGCACAGTTCTGAGTCGAGGGAGAAGGTTCTCCCCTGAACCGTGATAAACAAGACAGCCAATAAGAGCCTTAAAGTGGGCCGTTTGGAGTCACCTTGCTTCGTACCGCAATAAACGTATTTACGCCAGTTAAACTTTATTTTTTGAAATCCTAAAAATTGTAAGAAATGAGGACGAACGTAATTTCTGGAAGTCAAAATTTGTATGTAAAAGATCAAAATTTTCATTCGTAGTCAAAAAGTGAGCTCTTAAAAGGGTTAGTTACAATTCCATACAATCTGAAAAAAAAAACATGTTTTTTATAGTCAGCACCTGAAAAATAAAGAAAATGCTTTTGGCTGAACTAAAAATAAACTAATAATAATTTTGTATTTTTTGCTAAATCTAGAAAAGTTTGTTCACAATGTTTTTGGTTAGAACTTGAGATAACATTTTCGACTAATCCAGGAAAATGAGAAATTAATTAAAAACAAATGATGATTCTATTTGAGCAAAAAAAGCTTACAAGATATAGGGAATCCGCAGTAAATAATGAATATTAAGTCTGTCTTGGGATATCTTTTCTTGTGTCCAAAAATCTTAACCTAGTTTGGGTGAGAAAACATCGTAAATGAGAAACTGGTGTCCAAAAATTTTCTAAAAAAATAGCAAAAACTGTTCTACTCGGTCAAAAAAAGTCACATGGAAAATCATACCCGTAAATTTAACCTGCATTACGAATATGAAGTTATTTTTGAAACAATCCTTCTCTTCAAATACAGAACAAATCATAACGTACTTAATTTTCAAAAATATTCAAAAAAATCTTAATTTTGCTTCAATTGGGTGAAAAACATACTGTCAGACAGAAAATTCGGTGACAGTTATAAACCTGAGTTCTTTTTTCGACAGTCCTTTGAATACTCCAAGAAAATGAGAAATAGATTATTACTCTTGAAAACAAAAAAAAAAATGTGAAAAGTCATTAAATTTGAAGGAAAACGCCGATTAAATATAGAGATTCCGACGTAATTTATTAATATTTAATCAATTTTGGGATATTTCTTTAAGTAATTGAAAAAACAAAAACCTATATTTAAAAAAAAAATCCAAAAAAATCATTTTTCGTTAGTGAATCTGCAAAATTAAAATACGATTTTCCACATCATGGATCTCTTGAATTACAAAGCACCTTTATAATCACGGGTACACCAACTGTAACCTGATTTTTGGGTAGACAACGCGTAAAATGTTCCAGCAATGCGGTAAAAATCGGAACATACTGGGCGTTCAGAAGTATTTAAAACAATTCTGACCCCGCTAAGTATTCATTTCAATTTTATTAATTGCCGATTTATCGGCCAAAAAACGTCATACAAATTTAATATTCTTGTGTTACGATCTAGACAAATAATGGGTTAGAGTTGCATCTAATAAATAATTCAAACTTACTAATTGAATATAAAAAAACTGTCATTTCAACATTATTCAGGATAACGTAGCAGAACCATGAATAATAAAAAAGATAAATGCAAACTAGTTTTTTTTCTTTGTCGTGTAGCCGTAATAATTAATGAACTTGGGTAGCTTAATATAACACAAGAACCATTTTTGTATTTATTTCTCGACCTATGTAAACAGTTAGCGAAGTATTGGTAATTTCAGTTGTTATTTTAAACTTATGTTAAAACTATCATTATCAATTTAAATAATAAACAGCAAACGGAAAACGCCAAAGTGCGCCTGTCAATATTCTCGTAAAATCTGATTGGCTGTTTCAGAAAACTATAAATGCATAAATTCATTTAAACGCAATAGTGTCATTTGAAAAACAAGTGATAAATTTAGTGCTCGAACTGGTATGTACTTTATTTTTGTAGTAGGTATACGTGCTTTATTGTTGAAGACAGAAAAGAATTTAAATTTTTTCTAGGTAGATATGTAACACAAGATTAATTTTCCTTCACTATTTGGCATGGAACGCACCTCTTTCAAAGATCTAGATCTACGCCAACTTGTAACCCTTAATATTAAACTCAGTCATTTCTTTGGGTATTTTTCCTCAGAATTTCACAACTCCAAAATAAAAATATTCTGTATCTTCTATCGTCTAGGATTCCTGACTTTTATTTATATTCTTCTCGTGGCTATAGTTCAGTGCCTTAAGTTGTACTACTTATAGGCCATTTTCTCGTTTTCTCTTCATTTACAGTTAATTACGTTTGTCCTACTTATTTTTCTTTCTAGTTTTCGGTATCGTGTCGGCGCGGCTGTCACGGGAATTAACCCCTGCTCCAAGTACCCTTATTGCAACTTCCAGCATGCCAAAAAAGTCTGTAACAAAAACAATTACTATACATTAAATAATAATATTTAGAGCTCTTATGAATATATAAGTTTGTACTATAAAATCCTCCTTTTACCATTTAGCTTATAAAAAGCCAAAGAGGCCCAAAAGTTGTCAGAATGTGCTTGAAAAAGACCAAATATTTTGTTCCAAGTGTGTAATTCCACAAAATTAGGTATATTTCTTTACCGTCTTTATTCTATCTTCAGTCCTTATTATATTTGCTAAACCGTTTTTCGTCTAATGATCTGAAAAAAATTATAGCAAACCTGTCATATTATTGTCAATTATTTGTCCATAAATTAAGAATACTTTTTCAGTTTGATATTCTCTAAAAATCATTTTATTATAAATACAACTGCAGGTATAAAAAAGTTATATCCATTTACACTCTTACAATAAATATTGCCTGTTTAGTTAATAGGAGTCTTAAAAAGACCCTCCGACTTGAACAAAATTATTTCGTGAAATATTTTTAAAGGTGTGGCGATGAGGGTCGGCAGCTTCAATTATATACTTTATCCAACAATTACAGTTATCTTGAATAATAAATGGAGACTTAACAGGACAAATGAGATACAATTACCACTTTACCAAAACGTTGCCTTGACAAACGTACTATTAATTTTTTTTTAATTATTCCTGTAAAAGAAATAAATTTTAAATCATTTTCGATTAACACAGAAAATTAACTAGCAGATATCTGACTTCTTAAGAAACCAACTGCTCTTATGCAACTAAGTGGTAGAACCGCTTGTGTAAACACTTTATATACTTTTTTAATTTTCAGATAATCAATAAAAAAAATATACACGTGTCTGCCGTACTAAAATTAACACAACTCTTAAAACTAATCATACGTAATACTCGCACACTTAAATAACCACCAATACCAAACAAGTAAGTGTAAATGAATTTATAATCATAATAAACCCTTAGAAAAAACTATTTTTGGTTTGATAGGTTTCTATTTAACGTAAGCCAGTAACAGTTGTTACTCATTTTCACTTAGTCGCTCCAAAAGTCAAAATGAAGCACAGTGCCATCGAAGACCTAGATTTAACAGAATTTGTCACCTTCAACCTCAAATGTATTCACTTCTTCGGTTACTTTTCCCCACGCTTTGACAAATCATCAAAACGACAATTTTTCTACCGACTTTACGCCTTCACTTTCGTGATGTTCGCCTTCATTCTATCTCTGCTGAGTCAACTCGCCAAAATGATAGAATCGCTTGACGATATCGAAAAAATCACCGACGCTTCGTTCCTTCTCCTCACAAATTTCGTTCAATGTATCAAGATTTTGTCTTTCAATTTTTATCGAGTGAAAATATGGAAACTGGTGGATGGAATGAACAGGACGTCTTTCAAACCAAGGAATGTGGAACAGTACGAGATTTTGCTTGACGGTATCAAGATGTCCAAATTGATAACAAAATTGTTTTTTATCGCTTGTGTCATCACTTGTGCGTCTTGGGGAATTTCGCCTTTGTTTGACAGAGACATCGACGATAGTTTGCATTTGCCTTTAAGCGGATGGTACCCTTTTAGTACTGAAAAATCGCCAGGTTTCGAGTTCGCCTACGTGTATCAATGTTTCGTCACTGTGGTTGGGGGTTTGGGTAATATCAGCATGGATACTTTCATGTCGGGGTCGATCATGGTTTTATCGTCACAACTAAGCGTGTTGAACAATGCTCTCAGAAACATTAAAGACAAACATGTAAGTGCATCAGCTAAGAAGAATCAAGAGGAACTCAAAAACATTAATCGAATTTTAGTCGAATGTGTCAATCACCACAGAAACATACTACAGTAAGACTTCAAGTTTTTGTAAAATGCTTACTTATTAATGATCGAAATTTTAGATTCGCAGACGACTTTACGTTCCTTTTTACCACTTCCATCACTGGTATGTTTGTGGTTGGGGTGATAATTGTGTGCATTTCTATGTTTCAAATGAGTCTGGTTCCTGTGGCCAGTTTTCGATTTGTGGCGATGTTGCTCTATCAAATTTGTGTCTTGGTGGAAATATATTTGTGGTGCTATTATGGAAACGACGTCATCTTGAAGGTAAGTTGACGACTGGTTATAATATTTAAGACTAATTCGAGTTTTAAGAGTGACAAGTTGACGGAATCTGCATATGTGTGTCAATGGGTTAACGCATCCGAAGAATTCAAACATAATTTGTTGTATTTCATGACTCGGACTCAGTTTCCTTTGAAGCTGTATGCTTCTGGGTATTTTACGTTGTCGTTGGACACTTTTAAAGCTGTATGTACCAAAAATTTGGTGAAAGTAGTCACGAAATAATTTTTGATTTATAGATTGTGAAGTCGTCGTGGTCTTATTTTGCAGTCTTGAACCAAGTGCACTCGTCTTAGAAATAGGAAACAACTTTGAAGAAAAAAATTTGACATTGGTTAGAATAGTGACTTCAAACGGATGTCTCTGTATGTAAAATATATTAGTATTTAATAAAGGTTCATCTTTTTTGAAATTGACATGTACTTTTTCGTGTGATTATAATGTTACTGGGGAGTTTTATTACTGACAAGCGAAAAAAACAGTGTGAGTTACTTAACACATATTTTTTTTTGAGATTTCTAAGTTAAGGCGAGCAAAGCTGTACATCCACATTGTGATTTTGAAATGTATGTATAAAAAATTATTGAAAAACTTGACTCAAAAATTGTTTCGAGATAATTTGAGTGTTTTGGGCTAAAAATGGAAAAATATGTTGAGGGCTTAGATCCTTCCAATCAATCTGATCGACCAGAAGTAGCACTGAAAACGATGTTAAATCATTTTCCGAAAACTTAATACTGGTTTATTAGAATATTACAATTAAAATATAGCAGATATCAGCCGATTTTTATCTTCTGCGCCAGATGAAAAATATTTACATGTGAAGGTATTTTTTTTTTAGTGAACTTTAGGGATTAACAATTGACACCATGAAGGATTTAGAATCAGCAATGTTCATAAAAATAAAGTATACAAAAAATAAACCACCTACAGATACTTTACCATAACGAATAATTTTTAAAAGATTTGTAAGAAATACTTATCTCAGTTTTCGTCCTCAAAATGTCCGAAAAGAGATTTTTTTTTGAATTACCAGAATGGGAGGTGGAAATTTTGTAAAAAGTATTTCAAAAACCAGGACATTAAATTATTCATTAACATAAAACATAATTTTATTCTAAAACATGTGAAAACAGGAAAAAGCTACAACACTAAATATATTAGCGTAAAATTACAAATATTCAAGTGTCCGTGTTCTTTGTCGGGCAGTGTAGATTTGTATAAATACTCAATACACAAGTTTCAAATTCCTTTGGTTTGTTATTTATAAAACTGTTCCAATTTTACAATAAATGATTAAATGTTTAATAATTTATGATTAATGACCTGTTTTAAAAGATTTTTATAAAAGTACATTAAAAGTACTCTGGGGAGGGGTCATTTATTTCGAGACAATTTTAATATTTGTAGTAAATTTTTCAAACTTCTTAGTCTCACCAGACAGCTCAAATTTTTTGTAAATGTACTACAAATATATTCTGTATATTAAAAAATATAATTTATCGATTTCTTTTTATGGTCCCGCCACTCCGCCCCCACCACGCGATCCCGTGAGTTTATTTCTGTTGGAATTAAGATCTTCTAAACTTTGAAGATAGTGAGGAAACAATCAAAGCTAAAGTATGTAAAAGTCTATCAAGAATTTCAAACAACAACAATTTACATGAGGTTAAATTATACCACACTTCATCAATAAAATAATGAGGCTTGTTAGAAAATAACACATTAGTACAAAACAACATAATTTACAAACAATAAAAGAAAAAGTAAATAACAAGTGTTGATGAATTCGCCAAAGTTTCATAACATTTCAAGCAAAGAACACTGCTAACTAAAATTGTGATTTCTCGCATAAAATTTAGTACGAAAATTAGTCCCGTGTGAAACGACTTTTAAAACCAGTTGACGATTAAAATCCTAACTTGAACTGTGAATTTACAAACAATGAAACAAATTTACAGCACATGTTAGCGTCGGTCGAAAATCCGTATATTTGCGCATGAAAATTAACTACGCGTGTTGGGGAAACTGTGGCGTAGTTGTTACGATTAATTGTAGTTAAACAAAGGCTTCCCCTTTTTTATTAACTACCAAACTAACTAAACTTAACCTAGCTAACTCACCACATGATTTCACACACAACAAACACACCAAAATGACCGCCACCTACCCTCCACTAAACAAGTGAGTTTCGCTATCAACCCTTTCACTAGATACTACCAAGAAAATCCCTAGGAGCTACAAACTACCAGAAAAAAACTAAACGTGCACAAGGTTGTCTAGGTTTAACGATTTTTCTTGATTGCATTTTGTTCAATGTCAAATTATTCAAATGGGATTCGCGCCGTTGTTAATTTTTTTCAGCGCGAAATTTTAATTCAAATTTGGTCACCACAAGGTCAACATATTGTAACCCAACTGAGACTTATTCAGCAACCAATGAAGTAGGCGAGAAAATTATCATTCTTCACCAAAAGACCCAGTACCCAAAAAGAAAAGTACTAGAATTAGAAGCTTCACTCGCCTCCCATAATCAATAATTTTGACTCTTTTCTTGATATACATAGTATTTTAATAACCCAATACTCAAAAACATGTTTTTAATTTATTGTAAAGAAATAAGTATTTTGCAGTTAAGCTCCGCCCTCTTGCTTCACGGCGAATAAAAAAAATCATCACAATTGAGACAGGGCGGGTGGGCGGGCTTACATTTTTCCCTTTGGTTTTAATATGTGTAAACTTCTTTTCACAAGATGAAACTTAAAACATGTTTAAAATGGAAACTTTGTATAAGGAAATATCGACTGTGCATTTAGACTCCGCCCCATAATTGCAAAATCCATATTTCCTTGCAAAAATGTACCATTTTGACAATGTTTTAAGTTTCTTGTTGTGAAAAGATAGCCATGTATATTAAGAACAAAAACCAAAATATAAGCCCTGCCCACCCACCCTATCTCAATTCTGATGATATTTTTTATTCGTCGTAAGACGAGGGGCGAAGATTAATTGCGAAATCCTTATTTTTCTACGAGAAATTACCGTATGAAATATGTTCTTAAGTAATCGTGTTATACAAACGAAACTAAATGTATCAGTTAAAAAAGGAAACCAAAAGAGAAGCCCCACCCATCCGTCTCAATCTCAGTCGTGTGAATTTTTCATTCGTTTGCATACCGAAAGGCGGAGCGTAATTGCTAAATCGATATTTCCCTAAACAAATTTAGCACTTTTAACATGTTTTCAGTTTCCTCTTGTGAAAACAAGATTGCACATATTAACACTTAACGGAAAAATATAAGCCCCGCCCACCCGCCCAGTCTCAATTGTGATGATCTTTTTCTATTCGTCATGAGCGAAGAAGGCAGAGCATAATTATAAAATCCTTATTCCTCTACAAAAAATTAAAAATATGTTTTTGTGTATCGTGTTGTTCGAAGAATACTAAGTATATTAAGAAAAAAATAAACCACATTCATACTCGCCTCGATTTCAATTTTAATGAATTTTTCATTGGTTGTCAGATCGAAAGGCGGGGCTTAATTCCAAAATCCGTGTTTACTTACAAAAATTATCATCTTAAACACGTGTTAAGTTTCCAAGAATGAAAAAATCATCACAATTGAGACAGGGCGGGTGGGCGGGCTTATATTTTGCCATTGGGTTTTAATATGTGTAGACTTCTTTTCACAAGATGAAACTTAAAACATGTTTAAAATGGAAAATTTGTATAAGGAAATATCGACTGTGCATTTAGACTCCGCCCCATAATTGCAAAATCCATATTTCCTTGCAAAGATGTACCACTTTTTAAGTTTCTTGTTGTGAAAAGATGGGCATATATATTAAAAAAAAGCCAAAATATTAACCCCGCCCACCCGCCCTATCTCAATTCTGATGATGTTTTTTATTCGTCGTAAGCCGAGGGGCGGAGATTAATTGCAAAATCCTTATTTCTCTACAAGAAATTAAAAATATGTTTTTGTTCAAAGAATACTAAGTATATTAAGAAAAAAATAAAGCCAAAGATTAAGCCCCACCCATACTCGCCTCGATTTAGATTTTGATGAATTTTTCATTCGTTGTCAGATCGAGAGGCGGGGCTTAATTCCAAAATCCGTATTTACTTAATAAAAATTACCATTTTAAACATGTTTTAGGCTTCCGGAAATAAAAAAAATATCACAACTGAGATGGGGTGGGTGGGCGGGGTGTATATTTAGCCGGTTTCTTCTTAATATGCATGCATATCCTTACGGAAGATAGGTATAAGAAAAACATAACTTTAATTAATATACATGAGTAGCAGCTCATATTAGGACTTGAATGTCACATGTTTCATGAAAAGAATTATAAGAAGATTGCCTAGATATTTACAATGAGCATAAAAAATCTCATTTCCATCTTTCTCCTCAAAATTCCAATAGTAAATAGGTTTTAAATAGTACAAAATAACATATTCCTACACATGTAGTTTATGATTCCGTGTTGAGTTTTTATCCGAAACGTCCAGATTTTTGGCAAAAAAAATCAAAATTATGGAAAAACATTTTGCAATTTAATTTTGAATCTGCTAAACCGAACGCTTTGAAATCCTGCAAATGTTTTAAGGTTGTGATAGGCATAATAAATTTTTAATCAAAATATATTTATTTATCCCCTCCAAAATTGATGACGTCAGCTCAAAATTTTGACGAATAAATCCTATCTAAAATGTGCAAAATATGATGAGTTCATATTTTTTATCGATCAAATTAAAAACAAGTCACCCTGTTTTCCCGAAAATGTGAAAATGTCTTCATTTAATAAGAATTATAATAATGATATTCAAAATTTTGTCGATTGTAATTTCTACGTGGATTTTCAGTTCAGTCTTCAGTCGCACCACCGTTATTACATCAAACTCACTTGTAACAAACGATTAACAGGTTTCGTTACCTTTAGTCAAAAATTAAATACATATTTTTATTTTAGTTTATAATGGTTGCCATAAAAACAATAAAATTCGCTAAATCAAATCTTTTAATATTTCGAAAGACCTGGATTTGACAAGTTGTACTTTATGGGCGAGGGAAGTTCTATCGAAGAAATCTTCGACAGGTTTTTTACATTTATTTTTAAAATATTAGAAAAAACATTTATTAAAATATTCAGATCAATATTATTCCGTGATGACACGTATGTCAATTCCGACACGTGCAGTTTAATACTAATAATAAAACACTGGGGTAAACCATTGTTGGTTTAATCAATAAACAATATAGACAATCAGAGTCACAATTTAAGATACTTTCTTGTATACTACAAACTGTGAAATTTGAAGAAAACTGGAAATACCATACATACATCCAATATTCAACCACTGACGGCATTAAATCGGGTTGTAAAATCTTTCATATAAACAGCAGAACAGTATTTTATGTCGAATATTTTTTTCAACCTATTCACTTTGGAAGTTTTAAAAAACACCAATTCTTTCAATCTGGTTATTTTAAATTTTAAAAGTAGGTAGAATCAGGAAAGTAAAAAGTATTTTCGGTATGATCACAACTAATACGTCCGAAATATAATTACAATAACTAACTACTAACAAATATATAATATACTTACGAAATTGTAACAAGAATAAAATATTCGCGCACTTTTTCATTTTAATTCAAACTCCATTTCCAATCGTAAAAATTTTCATTTTACCCCGATTAAAAATTAGTTTTCGTGCTTCGATCATGCACAATAAAATTAAAAGCTCAGACTACAAGTTTATCTGAAAAGTAAACGAAGCTATAAATAATGCACAACTTGCATAATAGATCAAAGACGGACCGAAGAGCATCTTCAAGCCCTTAATTGCTCAATACAGAGTAAATTTTAAATGAGTTAAACACACAAAAACGTCTCCACAAGTAATTACAAGGAAACTTCACAATAATTATAGCGAAATGTTAGAAAACTAAAAATACTACAAACATGACCACTAGGGACGTTCCTCGTACAAACAAAACACGTATTTATATTCAAACCGTCTTGAGAGAAGTTTGACAAGTTTCGTTAAATTAATAAAATATTTCAGCTGCTAAATAGGTGCACTGTACACGTAGGTACACTTTTTACTAAAACAAAAATATAAAACCCTTAATAAATGGGTGTTTACAGGACGACATTGTCATTCGTGTTGCAACCATTACTGGACACAGTCAACCAAAAACTATGTCTGGAAGTGCGAATTTCGAGCTCGATTTGCGCGAATTCGTCACTTTGAACATAAAGTGTATACATTTCTTCGGCTACTTCTCCCCCGAGTTTGCCGAAAACTCAAAAAAGCGCATCCTGTTCCGAATTTACGCTACAGTTTTTGTGGGATTTGCCTTCGTTTTGTCCCTTTTGAGTCAAATCGCCAACATGATCGACGCTTTCGGCGACATGGAAAAAATGACTGAAGCCTCTTTCCTTCTTTTCACTAATATAGTGCAGTGTCTGAAATTGTACTGTTTCATGAAATATGGGGCAAGAGTATGGAGGTTGGTGCACAGCCTGAACCGAAAAATTTTTAAACCCAGGAACGCAACCCAGTACGATGTGTTGAAACGTGACATCGGGAGGTCCAAAATTATTACGAAATTATTTCTGCTGGCTTGTACTATTACGTATGCTTCGTGGTGTGTGTCGCCGTTTTTGGACAAAAAAGGGGAAAATGGAGTACGGTTGCCCTTAAGTGGGTGGTACCCTTTTAGTACGAAAGAAACACCGGCTTTTGAGCTTGCTTACGCTTATCAAATTTTTACCACTTGGGTGGGTGGGCTGGGAGATATCAGCATGGACACGTTTATGTCGGGTGCCATTATGGTAATTTCGGCGGAACTGAGTGTGCTCAATAATGCTCTGGAAACGTTGAAGCAGAGATTTGTGGACGATCCGCAAAAAATTAGAGAGGAAGAAAAGTTGGTTAATAAAGAGCTGGTTCGATGTGTTATTCACTACAAAAACATCATTGGGTAATAAATAATTATCAAAGAATTTAGAATTAACACTGACAGAAAAATTTTAGATTTGCCAATGAGGTGACTTACCTTTTCACCGACTGCATTACGGCTCAGTTTTTGGTGGGGGTAATTATAGTGTGTATGTCAATGTTTCAGATGAGTCTAGTCCCCGTTATGAGTTTTCGGTTTTTTGCGATGATGCTGTATCAAATTTGTGTCTTAATGGAAATGTTCCTTTGGTGCTATTATGGAAATGAAGTTATTTTGAAGGTATAGTTGTACAAATTTGCATTATTTTTATTTGAAAAAAAAATGTTTTTTAGAGCGATTTGCTAACTCAGTCGGCTTACATGTGTGAATGGGTTGACAATTCCAAAGAGTTTAAGCAAAATTTGTTGTACTTTATGACACGTACGCAATTTAATCTTCAACTGTATGCTTCTGGATATTTTGCCTTGTCTCTTCAAACCTTCAAAGCGGTAAGATTTTCTTCTCCAAGATGTTTTTTTTTAATCTTATATAAAATATTTTAGATTATTAAATCGTCTTGGTCATATTTTGCAGTTCTAAATCAAGTGCACGATCAAAAGATGGCTTAAAATTAAAATCAGAGTTCTTGAATTTTTTGAGTGTTGACTTTTGTTACCAATGAGTGGGTTTGCCTAACCAACGTTTCAACCATTTTATCTTCGACACTCGTTTCATTACTAAAGAATTATTTTCTTTACTTGTTTGTACGGTTAAGATTTTATGGCACCATTAATAAATAAGAAAATAAAATTTTAAAAAAGGTTTACTGAATTGAAGTTATGATTTTGCTTTAACTGGAAATGTGAAAATATAAAATGGACTTCGCGCAGAAAACTAGAAAATTAAAATGTATACTGGAAGAAATTTTTTGTTTTTTAATATATATTAAGAGATTTTTGCTATGTTGGTACTTTTACAAATTCATCAGTTTTTAAATTTTGACCTAAAAAATTTTGTCCCATTGGTTATAATAGATATTCAAATTTCGTAAAAAAATCTGCGAAATTCAAAAATAATTAATGTCTATATAGGTAGATATAAACATACATAATTATTAATCACATTGGTTATGATCAATATACACAGGGTGAGTCACTAATATTACAATTTTCAGATATCAAGGTTTCCGTGTTTTTCAAATAAATGTTCTATTTTGTGTTGTTTCTTTTTTGTCAAGTATATTCTACTTTTTAAGATTTTAAGGCACAGAAAGAAATGTGAAAAAACTGAAATATTAATATTTGAAAATTGAAATTTTCTACAATTTTTTATGAACATTCTGTATATTGGAATTCGATTTGTTTGATACGACAATAAAGTGCCTAATTCTTCTTATCTCTTCACAAAATATTATAGTACAGATTTAAAAAATAATCCTACTGCGATTTTTTTGTGAACGCTTCCATTGCTAAAAAAAATCCAAGAAAATTGAAATAATGCTTCAACGTCGCATTGGAATATCAAAAGTAATTTGTGGTTATAAACCCTAGTAAGAGGCTAATCAAAATATCTAGAAAATATACCGGGTGTTAAATTATGTTTTCGATAAAAAATTTTGAATTTAAGCTGTATGAAAATATTTTTATTGAACGTACTTCGATTTGTCCAAAAATTATTCCTTTCCTTAATTCGAACCTTTTGAAAAAAAATCTCTCTCTCTTTTTATTCATTCAAAAGTTATGGAGCGTCAAACTCACAATTTGACGGTCAAAATTTTCGAATTGTCTGACAATTACTTCTTTCCCTAATTCGAAGATTCTGGTGTTAATTGGAGCCAAAAAAAAAATATACAGGAGTTCTTGATTTTTATTTTAACCGGAATTCACTCTCTTCGTCCGTTCAAAAGTTAGGGACCGATTTTTTGAGTTTTATTTAAAGAAATATTTCGCTTAAAATAATGACAATTTTCAACAACCTATGCCAAAACGCAGTCACCTGGTCAAAATTAGCCTAGAAACTTAATTTCAAACAGATTGAATCACGTTTATTTTTTTTAGAAATTTTTTTGCAGTTTTTTTTTGGTTTAAAATTTTCGAATTTAGGCAATATCAAAAGTTATTTCGGTTAAATATACCTGGATTTGTCCTTTCCGTAATTCGAACCTCCTGAATAAGAATCCGGGCCCAAAATAATTGTAATAAGCTCTAGATTTTTTTGTTAATTTTTTATTATTCAAGCTTCCGGAAAATGATCTCGTGCGATAAATGTCAACGTGGATTCTAAACGAACATAGATACATAGTTGAGGATTTTGTCCCATGCTTAAAAAATTATAGGAGATCGAGTGGTAAAATCCCGAATACGCTCTCTTTGTCTATTCAAAAGTTATGGACCATCAAACTCAAAATTTGGTTTAGGTATATGAGTTTGTGTTAAAAAAGGATTTCGATTAAAATAATGAAAATTTGCAATCACAGATGCTAAAAACTTACTTAGCTGGACAGAATTAATCTAGAAACTTAATTTCAAGCACATTGAAATATGTTTATTTTTTGAGCAATTTTTTCAATATCAAAATTTTCGAGTTTAGACTTATGTATCTATCTCGGTTAAAATGATCTCAATTTGCCTAAAAATTACTGCTTTCCCTAATTAGAACCCCCTGAATAAGAATCTGGAGCCAAAAAAGTTATATAAAAGCTGTTGATTTTTTTTTTAATTTTTTATTATTCTAATTTCCCGAAAATGAAACTTATGGACCCTTAAACTGACATTTTAGTTTTTGAGTTTTGGTTAGAGAAGAATTTCGTTTAAAATAGTAAAAATTTTCAGCAATCGATGCCTTTAGCGTACTCAAAACTTAATTCCAGGTAGACTTAACCATGTTTATTTTTTAACAAATTTTTTCGGAGCTTTTTTCGGTAAAAATTTTTAAATTCAGGTCATCAAGCTGTATCGGCTAAACGTGTCTCGATTTGTTTAAAATTACACATTTCCCTAATTCGGACCCCCTGAATAAGAACCTGAGTCCAAAAAAATTGTCGAGGAGCTTTAAATTTTGTTTGTTAATTTTTTAATATTTGACTCTCTCGATAAATGTCTACATAGACATTAACACAAGACTAACATCGATAATTAGATGAAGATTTACCCCTATGCCCAGAAGTCTATAGGAAATCAAATAGTAAAAGCACTTGTTTATTGCTTGAGCAATTTTTCCGAAATTCCTTTTTTTCGGTCAAAATTTTCTTCTGCAATCTCGACTAAATGTGCCTGGAATTCCTTGAAAATTATTTTTTTTCTTATTTCGTACCTCTTGATTAAAAATCTGGAACAAAAAAGACTGCAGAAAAGCTTTTGATTTTTTTTAATTTTTTTTTTCGAATTTTTCAAAAATTACACCGCTCGATAAATGTGTACGTGGATTCTAAACGGGCATAGATACTTAACTGAAAATATACTCCTATTCCTAGAAAACTAGGAAATCGAATCGTAAAAACCGAAATTGATTGTATTGGAAGGTTCCAAAGTTATGGACTGTCAAACACACAATTTGGTAATTTTAGTCTTGATTAAAGAAGGATTTCGTTTAAAATAGTGAAAGTTTTCAACAACCGACCTAAAAACGCTCCCAACTGGGGAAAATTAGTACAGAACTTTAATTTCAGACTGACTGAAGCATGTTTGTTTTTTAAGCAATTTTTCCGATAAAAATTTTCAAATTAGGAAATATCAAACTATCTCCGTTAAACGTGCCTCAATTTATCTGAAAATTATTGCTTTCCCTAATTTGAACTCCTTGAAGAAAAATCTCAGGCCGAAAAAATTTTAGAAGAGCTTTTGCCTTTTTTATTTTTTTAATATATAGTATAATCGAAAATAATTTCTATGTACCTACTAACTGCCTGTCTCTAATTTTTATTGAAAGTGAAAAGTCAAGGACCGCGCACTTAGTGAGTCACCCTGTATATGCCACGTGATCAATTTTTTATAAACAATGATTTTTTCCTTTATTTACAAAAATTCTAAAGAATACTTAAATTTAAAATCTATTGTTGTCGTGATTTCCAATGATACGCCCGCCAAGTAACACAAAATGACAGAAACAAAAGAAAATTTGCGTTTTCGTAATCTAAGACATTTGGCCTAGATCTTACACAATGCAAGTGTCCCAGTGCTTGGTGGCGGAAGATTGCATATTAACTGTTAGTTGTTTATTAAATAAAAAATTAAGTTTAAGGATATACACCAAAATTTTTGTTTCTTTAAATGGAACGCACTATATATTTTTGAAATTTTTTTCCACCACTTCCATAGATGGAGGTTTGGAATTTCCCACAAAACTTTTCACTCATCTTGCCGTAACATGAAAATATCTAAGGTTTCGACGTGTTTATACAGGGTGAATAACTTTACAGATTGTCATTTTCGGCAACCTATATATACGAGTACTTTTTCAATTATAGTTGGGATAAATCCTAACAAACTTGGTATCAAAAGAGGGCTTACTTTAAAAAATATGAGAAAATTGACTTACTTAGTCACCCTGTATATCATTTAAAATGCTCTTCTGCTACCTATAAAAGTGGAACAAACCTGAACAAACATTTTATCTGTGTTCAGATCCACGTAGATAAAATTATTAACCTGAACTATATAAACTTTAATACACACCTGAAATGTCACCCTGCAAGTACCAGAATAAAACAATAAATTAATTGAACAGAGGCTTTTAAAAAATCTTTATTTATTTCTTTTAATTGTATTCCGATTTCCGCACAAAGCTGTCGTTTTAAACACACCCTGAAACATCCATACTTCGAACTACGACCAAATACAGGGCGTTTTAATTTAACACTGGAAACAAATTACGCCTTCTGAAGTAGCGTAAACTTTCCATCCAACAATTTAAACTTGAATTACAGATCATCCCTTCATCGCCCGGTTATTGATTTCTACGACACGCTTCGGCAAATCCTCGTCTCTTTATCGAATTCCCTCACACTTTGTGCATTTTATCCCTAAAAAATATTATAAACAAATAAAACTTTACCCACTTTAAGAAACATGTTCAAAGCGTAGCGATCGCAACGCAGCCAACCACTAAATGAAGCTGCAAAGGAAAAATAAGTCGAGCTGATAAATTATTCACTGGTCGACTGGGGTAGTTGTGCATAATTTACGAAGGACCAAAAGGATGAGTAATGAAAGTAAATTGCTTTATGAAAATTGTTTTGCTTGAGGAATATGCTATTAGTATTTTTAATTATGCTAAATGCATGAATTTTGTATCAAGGAGAGTTTTCTGGGTTTTGTGTAGATATATAGCGGTTTACTAACACGAATATGTAATGAGCACGATGCGGTTAATAATTGATGAAACGTGGAAAAGTGTGGATTTGTCGTTAATCGTGTGTTGAAAAGTTGTAATAAATTTTTTTAGCAAAATTAAACATTGTGTTGTCGCATTATTATAACAGTACTTAAGTCGTTAATTTCACTAACTCAGCTCTTACACATATGTCTTAAATTATGTAATGTCTTTAAATTACCACCAGGAATAAAAACGGATGTTTCTATGCAGTTTTTATTTTCTCAGACGTTTAATACAGAATATTTAAAACTGAACG